AAAAAAAAAAAAAAAAAGGGTAATTTCCCCAAGGTCACACATTAACGTGGTAAACCCAGGATTCAAACCCATTACAGAACTGGTCTGCATGTAAGGGGCATGCTGTTCAAACAGTCAGCATCTTTAAATACTCAGCACAGCACATTGATCATACTGTGAATAGTACAGGGGAACTACGAGATAAAGTAGATTCGTATCTCTTGTCTCATACTTGTTCTAATGCATTCACTTACTGAGCAAAATAGTAAACACACTTCCTCACACTATTTATATTGTTCTCATTCTCTCTCTATTTACATTTTTTTCATTCTCTGTCACTGAGTGAAAGTAGTTTGATTTAATGAGTGCCTTTTCCATGACAGACACAGTTTTGAACTGGAGATTCCTTGTGGAACAAGATTGACCAAGTCCTTGCATTTATAGAACATGCATTTTAGAGATAAAGCAAGCAATAATCGAGTAAACAGGTAAACAGGATATTTTATAAGAGATACAAAGAGTGAGGCACGTTGGCTCACGCCTGTAATCCCAGCACTTTGGGAGACCAAGGAAGGTGGGTCACCTGAGGTCGGGAGTTCAAGACCAGCCTGACCAACATGGTGAAACCCTGACTGTCTTAAAAATACAAAATTAGCCAGGTGTGGTGGCGCATGCCTATAATCCCAGCTACTTGGGTGGCTGAGGCAGGAGAATCGCTTGAACCTGGGAGGCGGACGTTGCAGTGAGCTGAGCTCGAGCCATTGCACTCCAGCCTAGGCAGTAAGAGTGAAACTCTGTCTCAAAAAATAAAAAAAGAAAAAAAAAAGAGAGATGACGGCGACTAAGGTAGGGCAATTGTTTAGGGAATGGCTATGGCTACAGTGCTTCATTTATATTAGGTGTGGTGATGAGGGATTTCCTCTCTGAGGCAACATTTGGGCGTAAGAGAGAAAGCCATGTGATGGTCTGGGGGTTGAAAACAGAGGAAACAGCAAATGCAAGACTCTAAAGCAGGAGTCTGCTAGATATTTTTCAGGAACAGTGAGAAGGCCAGTTCCTGAAGAGGAATGAGCAGGGAAGAAAGTGATAGAGGATGAGGTGAGAAGATTAGGCAAGAGTCCAGTCATATGGGCTGTGGTGAGGGAGCGTGGATTTTATCCAAGTGTGAAAAGAGACTACTAAGGGACTTTGAATAGGAGAGTGAGCACATTTCATTTGTATTTTAAAATGACCGTTTTGGCTGCTGTGTGGAGAATGAAATATATGGTGAAAGAGTGGAAGCAGAGAAAATAATTAGGAGGTGATTGCAGCAGGATGGCCAAGAAATGATGGTGGTTTGGACCAGTTGCTAGTGCAGGAGGTAGTAAGAAGGGGCGGAGTTTGGGATACATCCATATCCATCAATTAGAGCTGGCAGGAGGGGCTGATCCATTGGGTGTGGACTGTGAGGGAGATCATTTAGGGAGATGAGGGAGCTGTGTTATTATTTGGGAAATATTTCTCAGGGAAGATGAGAAAAAAATTGCATGGGAGATATCTGAAGGTAAAATGGGACTAGAGCCCTGACCAGAAAGACCACAGCTCTATCTTGGGGAACTTTCTGAGAACATAACAGGAGACCCACAAGAGGACACACTTCTCTCTTCCAGCACAAATCATGGACACCTTCTATTCCAGTCCCTCTTGCTGCTGAAAAGTCATCCTTTGGACAATGATTATGGACAGAGGAAGAAAATTTTACCTTTTTTGTAGGTAGGGTATTAGGAAAACTTACAGGGTGATCTGTGTGTATACAGAATCTATGCTATATATGTGCTAGAAATAAATACAGATATACTTCTTATTTTTAAAATATATATAGCAATGTATATATTAATATATCCACTGTATATATTGGAATATGTTGGCCAGGCACATTGACTCACATCTGTAATCCCAGTACTTTGGGAGGCCGAGGCGCGTGAATTGCGAGGTCCAGGAGTTTTAGACCAGCCTGGGCCAACATGGTGAACCCTCATCTCTATTAAAAATACAAAAATTAGCTGGGCATGGGGGCATGAACCTGTAGTCCCAGCTACTTGGGAGGCTGAGGCAGGAAAATCGCTTAAACCTGCAAGGCGGAGGATGCAGTGAGCTCAGATTGTGCCATTGCACTCCAGCCTGGCAACACAGCAAGACTCCATCTAAAAAAAAAAAAAAAGAAATATGTTAGTATATAGCTGGTTATAGACACTTTACCTTGCTTTATAATTCAGTACTGGTCTGAGTTCCTTAGCCTCTCTCATCACTACATGATTATTTTTCTTTCTCTCTCTCTCTTTTTTTTTTTTTTTTCTTAAGAGACAGGGTCTCACTATGTGGCCCAGGCTAGTCTCAAACTCCTGGGCTCAAGTGATCCTCTTGCCTCAGCCTCCCAAAGTCTGGGATTACAGGTGTGAGCCACCACACTTAGCCATGATATTTTGTCAAGCCCAAAGCCTCTCAAAGTCCTTCCCTTCCTGGTTGGGCCTCTGGAATACAAAGAAAGTACCACGTGGATACAGCTACCTTTGAAACCAAAGAATTTTAGTGCAGGAAGGAAGAACTAGTCCAACCCTTCTTTAACTTTAAAGCAGAGGAAGCTGAGCCTGGAGAATTTAAAAGACTCCTATAGTTTCAGCAGCTGCCCTCTATACACAGTAGCCCTGACCTTTTCAGAATTGCACTTTCTGTGCATCTAGTATATTTTTGAGTTCCCAAATTTGCATTTAATACAGAGGCTGGTCAGATTCTTCTATAATTCCAAAGGAAAAAAGGGCTACGCAGAAAAAGGAAGACGATGTTTTCAACATACATTTGTTAATACCTTATCATCACGCCAGTGAAATTTTCTGAAAGAACAATCTTTTCAGGAAGCGGTTATAATGGGAAACCCAGAAGTCAAATCCACGTTTTTTTTTTTTTTTTTTGTTTTGTTTTTGAGACGGAGTTTCACTCATGTTACCCAGGCTGGAGTGCAATGGCGCGATCTCGGCTCACCGCAACCTCCGTCTCCTGGGTTCAGGCAATTCTCCTGCCTCAGCCTCCTGAGTAGCCGGGATTACAGGCACGCACCACCATGCCCAGCTAATTTTTTGTATTTTTTGGTAGAGACGGGGTTTCACCGTGTTGACCAGGATGGTCTCGATCTCTTGACCTCGTGATCCACCCGCCTCGGCCTCCCAAAGTGCTGGGATTACAGGCTTGAGCCACCGCGCCCGGCCAAATCCACGTTTTAAAAAGCTGTCACAGTATGACGAAAGGCTATGTATGCATCATTATCATTTCATCCAGTTTCCTCTACTTACACTGAAAGATCTGCCAGAGCAAGGACTGGAGATGTGCCTAGACTGTGGTGGGTTTTATTCATTCAACAAATGTATTAAAACTCACACTCCTTTAAAGAAGGATCTCTGGAGGCTACCTTTCCCAGTTACCATTGTCCACACCTTTCATTTTGGTGATGAGTCTACTCACATTGATTATAGTAACAATTACCTTCCTATGCATCAAACTTTGTGTTAAGTACTTGATTTGCACTATCATTAACCCTTAACCCTTACACCACCTCTATGCTACTCTAAAATGTACAGTTACATTTTAGAAGTGATGAAGCTTGCCAGGCACGGTGGCTCACGCCTGTAATCCCAACATTTTGGGAGGCCCAAACTGGGAGGAATGCTTGAGGCTAGGAGTTTGAGGCCACACAGTGAGACCCCTCCATCTTTAAAAAATAAAAAATAAAAATCAACCAGGTGTGGTGGCTTGTAACTGTAGCCCTAGCTGGTTGGAGGCTGAGGCCAGAGGACAGTCTGAACCCAGGAGTTTGAGGTTGCAACGAGCTAGAATCTGTACTTTAACCTGGGCAACACAGTGAGACTGTCTCTAAGAAGAAAGAAATGGTGAAACTGAAGCACCAGGCATAAGAGATTGAGTAACTTGCCACAAGTCATACAAGTAAGCATTGGAAGAGCTGGCATTTGAAAACTCACTGCAGGCATTTAATACCCTGTTTTCTTCTGATTCTCAGTGATGCCTAGCAGTCTTTGGGAGGGGAAACCCCAAGGCTTGTTCAGAGTTTCAGCTGGTGAATAAGGTGGGACCCATTCATACACTTAGCCCCTAATGGGAGATTTACCATGAAGTGAAAGACTGAATAGTCACTGGTTTTGGAAGAGACTATGCGTCAACCGGAACCATCCGATGAAAAAAGACCAACATCATTTAACGTAATTTTCTTGATGTTTATGATTTTTTTCTCTAAGGATATTTTCCCCCTCTGGTTTTCTAAATTGTCACAAAACATTTGCGCAACGACCTGAGGTGTTATGACACCCTTAGATGAAAATCTGAGGACAGCTTGGATGAAGGACAACTTTTAAGTAAGAACACAGTCCGCCCTCGCCTTGGTTAAACAAATCGAATGGAAACGATTTGTTCAGATGGGAGAATCCAATAAACGCCAGCTCTTCGAAACAGCCCTGACTCCCTGGCAAACGCCGTTCCTCAGCGAATCGTCAAAACCCCGGCGTGCAAACAAACGTCTGAGGGGCGCGCCCGCCCTGCGCAGACTTCTCCCGGCAGCTCGGGCTTGGGAGAACGTCTGGAGGACACTGGTAGCTCCTCCCTCTCGGGTTAAGGACTGGAGTAGGGGGAAGGGGGCAGAGGATCGAGGACCGCCGGGTGGGTCACCTGGTTGACGCCTCCCGCCTCCCAAGACGGTGCAGGGAAGCTCCAGGGCGAGTCGCTCCGCGCCAGGAAACGCCTGCGTCAGAGCGCAGGAACAGAGGCGAGAAGCAGAGGGAGCCCCGCCCTCGGGCCCGTCCTAGAGCAGTGCGCCCCTCCCCCGCCCCGGAAACGTCCCCGCCGCCCCTCCCTCCACCACCACCTCCCGGGGACCTAGGTTGTAAAATCCCACGCAGTGGGGCGGGCACAGTGACAGCGGCGAGGGTGGAGAGAGGCGCCACCGCCCACTGGCACGGCACCAGCGCCCTCCAGCACCCAACCGCCGCCTCTCTCTCCCTGGCGCGGCTCCAGCCTCCCCTCGCCAGCCTAGCCTCCCAGAGCGGCTCCAGCCCCACCGCGCCCGCCCAGGCCCCCAGGCCCCCAGGCCCCCGGCCAGCCCAGCTCGGCCAAGGAGGGCACGCCCAGCGTCTGGATTCCCGCTGCGCGAGGGAGGAGCCGCGGCCGCCCCGCCCCTGGCGTTCTTTGACTCCCCAGGCCCCTTGGACATCTGGGTGCGGGGGTTAGTACATCAGATGTGGCTCCTGGGCCGCCAGATGTGCGCGTTCCCCGCCCGGGGCAGGCGGCTGGCGAGTCCGGGCGGACGCGTGGGAGGGGCTGGGAGTTTTCCCTCCGAGCAGACTTAAAAGCCAGCAGAACCTCAATCCCCCTAGCTCCCCGGGGCGCACTGCCCAACGGAAAGTGTCCAGCCCAGTCTGTGCCTCGCCGCCGAGCAGCCCTCGGGGCTTCTCAAAGCGGTAGAGAAAATAGGGCAGCTCTACAGGATGCCCCAAAGAAAACACTCATATGTCGACCAGGCGACCTCAGTGCTGGCGTGGGACCACAGCTGCGCAGCCAGCAAACCCCAGATGGAGCAGGAGGAGAAGTGGCAGTAGAGTTCGCATCTGGGGCTTGCTCTAAAGCCCTCTTTGACCGCTTTTGGATTCCATGTTTGAAGTTGAGAGTCGTATTCCACCTGGTACAGGCAATTCAGGGCAGGAGAAAAGCCAAGTGAACTCTGTGACTCAATCCCCTTGGAATGTGCCTGGAATAATAATAGGGGACTTAAAAGGGTTTTATGGCCGAGGTGGCTAGTAGAGACGAGTTTCCTACGCCTTGCAGTTGGCGGACGGCCGAGGGGGGCAGCATTGCCTTACGCAGAGCTTCTGCGCCTGCAAATAGGACAAAAATAGTCGGAGCATCTGGTTTAAATCAGCCAAAAAGCATTTCTATCAGCTTAATCCACCGGCCTGCAGAACCGACAGAACAGGACAAGCCAAATATATTCCCGGTACTCTTTTAACACTCCAGTAATAGCTAAACCGAATCACACTTTACCGCTGGGATTTCTGTGTCCCACCATACAACTGTCGTTATTTTATAGATGTTGCAAATTAAACTTCCCTTTCTGGGGTTGTGTGTGGGCATGTGCTTAAGCAGTTACATTTGCAAGCAACGCTCGACTACGCTGCCCTTTTCGTTTTCCTTTTTCTTTCTCTTTTTTTGGTATGAGGTCTTAGAATAGTAAAAAGTATCTGAGGCCAACATATGGGTTGCTTACACCATTCAATATATAGCCGCATTTCCCTCCTTTAACGCCCTAATCAGAATTCCAAAGGCAAGTTAGAACAAAAGAAAAACGTGTCTGAGTGTAATGGGAGAACTTGTGCCAAGAATTACAGTCGCAGGGTAAATAACCTTGTTTTCTCCTTCATCAATGGCCGCTACCAAGCACGGCTCTTGGAAAGTGGCCAACAGCCTGTCTGGTGGAGGGCGCTGCTAATTAGAGAGAGCCCATAAACCTCTCTGTCAAAGAGGGCATGTAACCTTCCCTTCAAGTCTAAACAATAAAGCTGGCGAACTGCAGACTGCACTCAACACTGGCTGCCCTGCGGATTCCCTAAATAGGAACAGGATGAAGACCAGGCTCAAGAGGTTACCATAGCTCTGCTCCCACACTTTGAGGAATCGGTCACTCCACTTCCCCGTATAACTTGCTTCAATTACTCTCTGCAATCTATTTAGAGGACAGCAGCTTGCAGAGAGCACTCATTGTCTAATCTAAATGAGGAAGCAATTATTACTTGCTGCAGTCTAATGTGCTTTGAGACTGGTGGGTCAAAGAGCAACCTGATTTCTTGCAACGTGTCTTTGCACTTTGGAAGATATACCTTTTTGATGACATTTATTTACTCCTGCTTTATGAAACAGTTTTTTCTATTGAGATTACAAAATTAAGGGGTTTTTCCCCTTCTCAGTCTTCAACGTCCTTTTTAATTTTAGAATTTAAGCTAAAGATCCCGACTACTTTTGCATATTGCTTAATGTTAATTTTTTTTTTTTTAGTGCTTTATTATAGGCATCTTTTCTGATTATTGCAAAATAGAGGTCTCTAAGTCTTCCCTTCTTTGTTTAATTTACCTCCCTGGGAGCCCCCTTGCTAGCTTTAATTTTATACAACATGTTGTAAACTATAAATAATACAGCTCCACTTTCCTAGAACATATGGAAACTGTCGCCTGCTATATATCCTAACTGTACTTGCTTTCAGCTTAAAGACTGAATAAAGTTAATCTCCTGTGTAAAAAGGCATTTGGCCTTTTGTGTGTGTGTGCGTTTTATTAGTTAAAACCCAGTATGGAACAGCACATGAAATTCTTCTTGTTGTGAACAGAGCACATAAAAGAGTTTACAAGGTGTGGTTTGAAGGGAAGAAGCCTTGGAAAAAATGTTGGTGGAAAGGAGAGGAAGGAAGGAAAGCACTTCCTGAGAGGATACTCCTCGTTTCAGCTGCATCTACTCTTCAAACTCTTCCTGTTTGTCTTAGTCCATAATTGATAGTACATTATTTGTCTTTATTTTTTTCTATTCACTTTAAAAGCATCCTTTCTCTCAGCACTAAAGCTACTCTTAAAACCAAATCCATTAACTTCCAGTGACTTAATAACTTTACTTCATTTATCATTCTGATAATTGGAAACTTTGGTATTATATAATACATGTATGGAAGGAATCATTTCCATGTTAACTTTCCAAGTATTCTGTGATCTCTAAGATAACCAACTGTGATGGAATTAACAACAGAGTCTGAAGTCACAATCGTGGCACTTGGGTCGTAGGTTGGTCACTGGCTTTTTTGATTTTGTTTTGAGACAGCATCTTTGTGTCACTCAGGCTGGAGTGCAGTGGTGGGATCATAGCTTATTGTGGCCTCAATTTCCTGGGCTCAAGCAATCCTCTTGCCTCACCCCAGCAAGTAGCTGGGACTACAGGCGTGCGCCAGCCACCATATCCAGCTAATTTTTGTATTTTTTTGTAGAGATGGAGTTTTGCCATGTTGCCCAGACTGGTCTCAAACTGAGCTCAAGTGATCCACCCGCCTCAGCATCCCTAAGTGTTGGAATTACAGGCATGAGCCACTGCACCTGGCCACAGGTTGGTCACTGATGAGTCTCTGATTGTGTATTTGTAAAATCAGGATGATGGCTCTTAGCAAAATGTGAAAACAAACATATACTACTGTTGGTTATCACAACTAAACACAAGGGACATCACAAGCCTTATAAGGTATTAATTCTTCTTCCAAATACATGGCGTGCTGCAACATCTCCTTCATAAGACACATTAATATTTATAATTTCTACATACTGAATTTATGAATTTATATTTTGAAGTGAAGTTTCTTTTGGAATTTATTTATTTATTTATTGAGACAAGGTCTCTCTTTGTCAACCAGGCTGGAGTACAATGGCACATCTCAGCCCTCTGGCCTTGACCTCCTGAGGTTTAAGCAATCCTCCTTCCTCAGCCCCACAATGAGGTGGGAATATAGGCACACACCACCACACTCAGCTAATTTTTGTATTTTCAGAGATGGGGTTTTGCCATGTTGCCCAGGCCTGGGATTAAACTCCTGGCCTCAAGTGACCCACCCACTTTGGCCTCCCAAAGTGCTGGGATTACAGGTGTGAGCCACCATGCCCAGTTTTTAAAATTTAATTTTAAGGAAACTGTGATAATTTTATGTGTCAAATTTGGCTAGGCCATGGTACCCAGGGATTTGATCAAACACTAGTCTATGTTGTTTTAAAGGTATTTTCTAGATGCAATTAGCATTGTCAGTAGACTTTCAGTAAAACAGATTACTCCCCATAACGTGGACGAGCCTTGCCTAAAAGGTGAAGGGAGAATTCTACCTGCAGAATTGTCTTTGTACTTGAAACATCAGCTCTTCCCTGGATCTCTGGTGTATTGGCCCACCCTGCAGATTTTGAACTTGCCAGTCTCCACAATCACGTCAATTCCTTGAAACAAATCTCTCTTTCTCTACATATCTTATTCGTTCTTTTTCTTTGGAGAACCCTAACTCAGATACCTACTATTGACTCTTGGCACTACGATATCTATTGCAGCACTCAAATTGAGAGTGACTTAAATTATGCTTAGCATTGCCATGGGAGAAATGCCCACATACATCCCAACCTGTTTCCCAGTAGTTTGAGATAGCATCCTGTCAAAACACATCAGAATTCAGCCAGATATTCTAACCTGGCTTCATTAACTCCTCTCCTCACACATCTTTTCCAAATCTCAGAATTAAGCAGTGGTTGGAAGAGAAAAACAAAAGACTGATGTGCAAAAGCATCTGATCCTGTTCTCTCTTCTCCCTACACAACTTTCTTTTTATGAGTATTCCCCAAGGTACCAGTTGAAAATATAACAAACTGTGGCAGTCCTAAGGTACTCGAGGTTAAATGTCACCTTGAAAAATTTGCAAGGCTAATAAAAAGGTAGTAGGGTTTCAAGAGTATGATGGTCAGATGCAGGATGTATTTTGGAGACGGCCAAAACAACTTACCAATGTACTGGATGTAAGAGGTAGGGGAAGGGAACCAATTAAAAAAGCAAAAACAAAAACTGCTCTGGGAGAACCACATGAATTATTCAATAACCAAGAAGAAATACTAGAATAAATAATACTCAAATAATCCAAACATTAATTTGGTTGGTAATGGTGAATTCATTTTATTAACAGCAAGAATTATTTCCCTTAAATTAATTCTATGCTCCTTTACTTGGATAAAATCATTGTGCAGAAACCTAACAGCGGTATTGTATGAAGTAGGTAATCAATGGA